CAAAGGGCATCGCTACTAGGAGCAAGAAGCTACTAGGGGCTCCTGGCATCGCTACTAGGAGCATTCTTACCACTAGTAACAAGAAGCTATGTGTAACAAAGGAAGTCCATGAGGTCAGTCTTCCAACTGCTGCTTTGCGGCCCATCTCACGAGGCCCTTCAGGACTCGTTGCGTTACGGCATGCTGCGGAAGGATTTGATGGAGGTTTTTGCAGAAGCGCGGGGCTCTCTGGCGTTCCTCTCTTTGTGTCTCACCTCGTATTCTTATTGGTATGGCGTTCAGAACACCTACCAAGCCAATACGCTCTTAATGAGCCTTATTCTGAGTACACATCATGTGGCAAACTTCCTCCATGAACGTGTCGACTTAGATTTAGATCTGGAGCTGCCCATTGAGCGGGCAGTGAGCCAACAAAGCATACTCAAGATCTAAAAGATCGAGTTGTGCATTGGACACCTGGCCAAATACCTGGAACAATAGTCTGATACATAGTCTGATTCAAAGAGTCCTCTAGTCAAATCCACTTTTCCCGAATTCGATGTGCAGATTCAAAAGGTCGGGAGCGGGTGCGGCGCGAGTGATCATGTGACACACAAGAGTCACAAGAGCCCCTATAGTAACAGTAGCGATGCCGCTCCTAGTAGAAATGCCCTTTGCTCCTAGTAGCGTCCTTGCTCCTAGTAGCGAGGCCAGGAGCCCTAAAGTAGCTTCTTGTTTCCCCGTAGTATGGCCAGGAGCCCCTAGTAGCATCCTTGCCCCTAGTAATTGCTATCATGTTCATGGCGATGTTTGCCCAGTCGGGGCCGCCGAGAAGGGTCGGCTGTTTGCTTCCAACGCCCAACTTCTTGTTCCGAGCGACGCGTAGAGTACCGTTTCCGGAAACGGAGTGCTCTTTTAGTACATTCCAACCCGTCAAGAACTTCCTCAGGTCAAAGAAACGAAGAAAGAACGGATCTTTTCAAACAAACAACCATTTATACGATAAGGGTTTTTTGTGTATCATATTTGTTGTGTTTCTTTTTCGGTATTTGTGCTGAAAAGAGCAACTTCCGGCCTAATGTTCCGATTCCTCTTCCCGCTTTGGACTGGACGACTCTTCCGATGGCGGCCGCCATGGCCTTCGGCTTCTTCGCTCGAAGGAGGCGCCACGGGTACTCCGAGGCCGTAGCGATGCCCGACCGAACCCAACTAGTCAAGATCAAGTTGTGCAATGGAATTCTGCTCGGTGAGTTGGGCCAGAAATGCCAAAGCTGGGTTTAAAGGGATAGCGACATACAGAGCTTCTTCGTCTCTACCTCCATTGCCGCCCCCCCTTGTAGGAGCTTCCTTTGGCCACGCCCTGGCACCTTTCGAGGCAGGGAAGTGCATTTGGTTCAAAGGCGGTCACAGGAGTCCGGATCCACTTGCACAGACTCCTGTATTTGAGCGAGAGCCCGGCACACAGACTCCTTGTCCGACTTGTCATCCTTAATGAAAGAAGAGGCCCCAAAGTCCGTTTGTTCGGGGTCTGACGGTGTTTTTTCCAGTGAAATCCATGCCGCAAACATTGAATGCGTCATTCATGCCAAGAAAGAGGAGCCCAAGGCAAGGATTCGGACTCGGCATCCAAGGCTCTCCAAGCCAAACAAATCCGTGGATAGCTCGTGTTCGGGCGTGGCGTTCTTCTTCTTCGCTTCGGAACACCCTGGCTTCGATCTCAGGCCTTGCCGCTGCGTCGATCAACCTCAAGGCGTTCTTGGAGGGACCCTGTCGAAGCTGCTTGGACCGGAGCATGATGAAATTCGGTCGAAGCGCAGGTGACCTTGCCAGATGCTCAGTCTGTAGATGACTCGGGTCATGTTGCTCAGGTCAGTGGCTTCTGGTGAATGAACCTGGTGAAGGGCCTTTGGCCGAGCGCACCGCCCAAGAGGCGCAGCAGTACGTTTCGTCTCCGTCGGTGCCAAGACGGATGTGACCAGTCAGGAAGGGACCAGTCGAAGCCATTTCCGACGCGGAAAACGAACTAAAACCAACTAACTCAGTAGTAACAAGTGCCACGCTAGTAGTAACAAGTGCGTTACTAGTAGTAACAAAAAGCTATTAGAAACAAGTGCCTTACTACTAGTAACAAAAAGAGTTTATTTTTAATTGTAATTACTAACTCATCGTTTGTGGTCGGTGGTGTGGGCTTTTCCCGGTGGCCGACCCACTCGACCGGTGACCCTCTCGCTCGACCGATGGGTGAACACCGTTGTCAGGTGCGGAAGTCCCTCCACGGGTTGGAGGTCTCCGCACTGGCAGTGGTGGACCTGGCGCCCCACAGTGGTGCTGCCAACTTTGAGGCGATGGGAACAAGCTACGACCGGGTGGAGGCCATCGCTATGTAGGGTGGAGGCCACTACTACTACTACTACTACTAGTAGCAAGAAGCTACTAGTGCTGGCCTGACCACTAGGAGCAAGGATGCTAGGGGCTCCTGGCATCGCTACTAGGAGCACTCTTACTACTAGTAGCAAGGAGCTGCTAGTGGCTACTCCGAATTCAACATATGTTGCCTTCATTCCGTGCGCCTTGTGCCACCGGTTGTTGTCCCTTCTTTTTTGTGTAGGACCTTTTGATTTCCGTCCTTTCTTTCCGATATTCTTAGCCCAGATTCCCCCACATGTCCAACACAGGAAGTGCTTCGTAGAGGTATTCCAGTACATGTCCAACAGTTGCAGAAGAGTTGATTTCCGATTCCCGAAATACGGTGTTGACTTCTTCCTTGTGGTCGATGTTTTCCTCAGTTGACGACATCGTGATGCTGACGACCTCGGTGCGGCAGGTTCTTCTGGAGCGCTTCCAGGTGGCATTGACCCAAGCCGCGGTGGAGGCGGAAATTGCTGCAGACGAGACCGACAGGAAGAAAAGAAAGAATGGTTGATCAGAGGATCCCAAAACCGAGGATCAACAAGAAGTTGATCGCTAAAGAAACAAAGAAAGGGTCTAAAGGTTTGGCTGTAGTTAATTTATTTTTTTCGTCCACGCCTACTTGATTCAGTAGGGGAGAAGTTCGCACCTAGCTAGTAAAGACGCTCAGGGTAGCTCCCATGTCTAATGATTTGCTTCCCAGAACCAGTGGGTAATTAGTTGAGTTCCCTTCTTGTGCGTGTTCTGTTCAGAGCTCCGGCAGGTGTTTGCTCAACAGCAGGTCACTGCACATGTCGCCCAGCGTTTCGCAGAGCAGTTGTTTCGGCTCATGCATGGCAGTGGCCAGAAGATGTTGGAGTGGTACAGCGGTGGTACACCAAGTGGTACACCAATACACATCACACATCCTTTCTTCGACTGAACCGGGGTAGACTTACGTCAGTACCGGCGGTTTCACCGATGCGCTCAAGGGTTCGGCATCGCGCTACTGCCGTCGCCATGCGCGGATGCATGGATTCGACGAACACGAGCGGCGGCAAGTGGTGGCACTCACCAAGGAATTGAATTTCTTTGGGGGTGTGTAGGAAAGTGATCTAAGTAAGTCTGGCCAGCCAAGCAGAAAGCAGAAAGCAGACATCTCCAGGTTGAAGCCCAGGTTTTCTGCCCAAAAGAGTGGCCAAACGAAGAAAACACGGAGCACTTGTTGCTCGACTCCTTCACCTCAACGAGCAGGAGATTCAGCGCGCCGACTGGCGGACGGCGCTTCAGCTCTTCGAGGACGGCGCCTCACTGCGACTGGACGCCTTCGTGTGGCCCGGCTGCCGATCGAAGGGCCAGTCCGAGATGCCGAGGGCGGTCGATGCGCAAGGAGGCGTTGCGCATGCTTTCGAAGAAAGTTCTTTTGTTTGTGGGTGATGCTCATGCATATTCATGCATCCCAGTTGATCCACAGCATGTTCTTTTTGCCGAACGCTCAGGTATGGCGTGTTGGCCAATGTTTGCGCCAAATCCAGCCAATGGCAACAAGCGTTACTTTGCTTGCACCACATGCTGCATCAAAGCTTGCAGTCGGCATCTTGGCAGGGATCAGTCACCTAACTGTTCCAAAGGGATGTTCAACCGTTCCTGTTCCAAAGCTAACTGAGACGATCTATGTTGCCGTCCGAAGTCCAATTGCGTCGAGAAATCGCAGCCCCTAGTAGCGTCCTTGCTCCTGGCAAACATGATCAGGACACAGTGGTCTTCAATGCTGCCATCAGTTCCTGCGAGAAAGCTCAGCAGTGGCCCAACGCCTTGGCTTTGCTCCAGCAGCTTGGTTTGGCTGTCAGGTTCGGCTGTCCACCTCCAGATGTAGACGGTCCAACCCATTTCCTCCAAGCGGAGAACCCTTTCTTGTTTTTCTGTGTACGGCGAATCCAGGCCATTCAACTTGGTGGATTTCCCCGGCTTTTACCACTTGGCCCCAGCGAGGCTCATGTCGGAGATGCGATACGAAGCGGATCTCATTTCCCAGAACGCGGCTCTGGCAGCTTTGGGCTCGGCCGGTGAATGGCTTCAGGCGCTGCAGCAGTTTGAAGACCTGCCGTCGGTCCACTTGGAAGGAAACGACGTCACGTGCCTCGGCCAAAGAAAGACGAGTTGGACTCAGTTGGATGTTCCTAGTAGCATCCTTGCTCGTAGTAGTAAGGCCAGGATCCCCTAGTAGCGTCCTTGCTCCTAGTAGCGATGCCCTTTGTTCCTAGTAGCATCCTTGGATGAAAGAAGCAACCATTCTTGTGGCTCCTGCGTTCCACACCCCCAGGTACAGCTCCACGATGAATGCAGTGGCCAGAGTTGGGCTTTGGAGGACCGCTGAGCAGCTGTGGTCCAACTTAGAGGTTCAAAACTTGGAGCAGAGCGTGTGCCTTGGCCCATGGTTCCAGTGTCGGAAGATGACGAACGAAGAAACCATTCTTACACAAGGCAAGGCAAGGCAGGCACGCCTTCGGAGGGCTCCGTCCTTGACACACCCAGGGTGGCGTGCAATGTCGCCATCACGGCCTGCGAGAGGGGCAATCAATGGACCGAGGCCACTCTGGTGTTTAAAGCAAAACCGAACAAGAAGCCACGAACGGAGCGGTCGGACGCTACGAACGGGGCGCTCCTGGCCTTACTAGTAGTAACAAGAAGCTATTAGGAACAAGTGCATCGCTGCTAGTAACAAGTGCCTTATTGTTCCTAGTAGCTTCTTGTTACTACTAGTAAGGCACCTCTTACTACTAGCGTGGCACTTGTTACTAGTAACAAGAAGCACGAAGCTACGAACGGAGCGAAGAAGCTGTAAGCGTCTCATCGAATGTCGCTCTTCGACGCAGCGACCTTCGAGCTGCGAGCTGCGTCGTTTCAGTGTGTTGACGCCGAATGTCGCTCTTCGGGCGGAAAGAGGTAGATGCGTAGCTTCTTAGCTGGTCTGGTCTGGTCTGTCGCGAGGCACTCGGCTTTTTGCAGAAGATTTGGGAGAACTCTTTGGAGCCGACGGTGCCTCGCAACGACTTGAGGAGCCCACAGCCACAGAGAGAACGGAAGAAGTTAGCTTTGAGGTTCAATCTGGAGAAGTCGGATTTGGAAATGTTTTTGGGTGGTCCAAAACGAAGAGCTCAGAGGAGAAGAGGAGCTAGGTTCATTCGGAGATGTACCTTTCCTCACAGCGCGTGAGGTGGTGACTGTGGGCGCATGCACCAGCGCCTGTGAAGCCTCTTGGAGAACTGCTTTGGCATTGCCCTTTGACATGAACATCGTGGCACTCAACGCGGTGTCCCGACCTGGAAAAATGGATGAAAGACTATTGTCCTTTCTTTTGACATGTTCCTCCCTTTTGGTTTTGCTATTTTGGCGGTCAGGTCCTTGACAAGCCTGGAGGTCCCAACTGGACGGGATACACCTAGTGTGCACGGCGCAAGTGCTCAACAGGTACGTGCGGACTGCGCGACGGACTGCGCGCGACCAAGGTCATCAGCGCGTGTGGCAAAGACGGCCAATGGGACATCGCCTTGCGACGAAGCTGGAAAGGTTGCTCCGTTCGTAGCGATGCCCTTTGGGGAAGACCAAAGGGAAGACGACGTTTCTAACGAGCCACTGAGTTTCAGTCAAAGCGGGGAAGTTCTTTGCGTTGCTCCATGCTCTTGGTGTTCAACCCACGTTCAGAGCATGATCTCAGGCACGTTTTTCGTAGCGTGAAGACCTTGCAGCTGGAACCAACCTTGGTCACGTGTGAAGCTGAGATTTGACACGGTTTTCAAGGAGACTCAGCAAGAACCATTTTGAAGTGTGGATTGTCAGAGCCGGGTGGTGTCCAAGGTGATTTCCCTTATCCTTACATGCCAAAACCTTCCGAACCTGTAGAGCCTGCACTGCCGAGATACAACGCCGCCCTCGACGCGTGCGAAAAACGTGCCCTCTGGGAGCTCGCGCTGTTGATTTTGGACGAAGCCATCCGGAGCTGCACTCAGTTAAATTAACTAATAGCCTCTTGTTAGTAGTAGTAAGGCACTTGTTGCTAGAAGCGATGCACTTGTTTCTAATAGCGAACCTTGTTACCCAAACGACGCGCGGCCAAACGGCGTGGTTGGCAGCTCCGAGGATCTTTCCACCCAATGTCATCACATGCAGCGCTGTGATCAGTGCGTGCGAGAAGGGCCAGGTGCGGTGCGGCGCTGCGGCGCTGCGGGCTGTCTGTGCGAAGTGGGAAATCCAGTGGGTGTTCCTTTGCAGGCTTGGCCCGTAGCCCTGCAGCTCTTTCTGGACATGAGCAAGCTGCTCTTGAAGCCCAATGTCATCACCTATGGCTCCTGTTCGTCGAAGTGTTCCACCATGGTTTTTTCCACGTTTTTTCCCGAAAGCACCTGCGAAGGGTTTTTCCTTAAGCACTGCTGCCTATTTCATCTTCCTTAATCTCTTTCTCTTACTTCATCTTCCCCACTCTCTCTTCCCTCTCTTTCTCTTACTTCATCTTCCCCACTCTCTCTTCCTGACTCTCTTTATCCTACTTCACCTTCCTTACTTCATATTCTTTACTAACTTTCTCCTACTTCACCCTCACAACATCATCATCTAATCATCACCTCATAGGTTATTAATCTCATATCATATCATATTATATCATATCAGGTTATAATATCATATCACATCACATCAATGTCATAACATATCATATCATATCATGTTTTAATATCATATCACATCACATCAATGTCAGATCATATCATCTCATATCATGTGATAAAATAATATCACATCACAACATAACATATGAAGTAGAAGTATCAGATCAACAATATCAAAGTACATCAGAAGTAGATATTGATAGGTAGGTATTGATAAGTGGGTATAGACAGGTAGGTGTAGGTAGGTAGGTGTAGATAGGTAGGTGAAGATAGGTAGGTGAAGATAGGTAGGTGTAGACATCTTCCTTAAGACACCTACCCAACTTCACCTACCCAACTTCTTCTTTATTCTTCTCTTTAGGCGGCGGGGCGGTGCGAGCAGGTCTTACGAAACGCAACCCTCTCGTGGAATCGTGGCCATCGATCGCGCGCGCGTGTGGTGAGACGCGAATCGCGTTTGTCCGTGAGCAACCCTCTGCGGAGATCGTGCGTGTCGATCGCGCGAACGTGTGGTGAAACGTACATTTTTGGTGTGCGCGGTGCGTTCCGCCATTATAATTCTGGTGACAAGGTTTTGTCGATTTTGCGTTTCCCCATTGTAATTCTGGTTTCAAGGTTTGCCCTCGAGCAACCCTCTGCAGAGATCGTGCGTGTCGAGTGCACGAACGTGTGGTGAAACGTACATTTTGTCTGAGCGCGGCTGGGCACACCATTATAATTCTGGTCACAAGGATGTCGCCAATGTGCGGTCCGGACCGCATACTCATTGGGAAATGCGATTCCAAGGTCTGTGCCCGGTCTGTGCCCGGATCGTTCCCCCATTATAGTTCTGGTCGCAATGATGTCGTGAATGTCACCTCTGAACTTTCTACAATGCGCGCTCTGGACGTCATACTCGTTGGGAACCGCGATTTCATGGCTTGTGCTCGGATCGTTTCCCCATTGTAATTCTGGTCACAACGATGTCTCCAATGTGTGCTGTGGACTTCATACTCGTTGGGAAATGCGATTTCATGGTCTGTGCCC